CCCCCCCTGTGAGGCCTGCCGTGGCACCCTGGAACTGGGCAGTGGGGTGGGACGCAGTACTGGCTGCCCTGGACATCCAGGCCTGTTCTGGGGGCTGAGGGAGCACAGTCTGGTGTGTTGGCATCTGCCCCTGTGTCCCAGTGTGCTCCCAGCCCTGGGCAAGCTGGGTGTGAATGTTGGGGGTATGGGGACTAATGCAGGCCTTAGGTGAGCTCTGGAATCTTCTTGGGTGCTACAGGTCTAATTTCACCTTCCTTTTTCTTTCTTTCTCTCCTCCCTTTCTCCCTTTCGCTTACCCTCTCCCTACAGGTGCTGAGCCGTCACAAGTCAGTAAGCCTTTTGCCTGTTCTCTCTATCCTCCCTGCATGCCTCTTCCCTGCTAGTGCCCCATTCTCCAGGGCAGGGCCAGCCTGGGGACGGGACGGGCAGCATATGCTGCTGTACCAGTGTGGGTGGGTCACTCCTGGCAGCAAGCTACCCTCAGCCTGGAGGGCAAGTGCTGCCTGTCTCTGCCAGCTTGCTGGGGCCCTGGAATGTCCCTGTGTGTGGTTCCTTCCCTACTCCTCAAGACATGGCTTGGCTGGGCGAGGGCTGATGGGTGTGCTGGGCACCCTGCCCAGGGCCAGGCAGGCTGGTGGCACTTCCCTGGGCAGTCACTGGGCTGTGGTGCAGCTCCCCTGATGGTGTTTTTTTGACCTTGGCTTATTCTTGCTTTGTCCTTTCTCCTCCTGGCCCTTGGGGCCAGTTTCAGACTGCCAGGAATGGTGGTCATTCCAGAGTCAGTCCTGCACTGGCACTGCCTTTGCAGAGGAGGAGTAGAGGGGTGGGGAGGAAGGCAGTGTGCGGCGTCTCAGGTACTGGTGTGCTGGGGTTCTGTGCCAGGGGAGGTGTGGGGCAGCCCCAGGGAAGTGATGCCATGGGATCTGTCAGATTTGACAGATGACTCTCACTCACAGGCAGCCCCTGCAGAAAAAAACGGGAGCCCCCCGGCAGCCCTGTGTGTGACCCTGTGAAGCTGCGGATGTTAGAGGACATTGATGACTCGCAGCCCCCCAGCTGGACCTCCCAGTCCCGCTCCTTCCGCAAACTGGCCCGGATGGTGGGCGCAGAGAGCAGTGAGTTCCTGCAGGGCCTGGCACTGCCTGGCTGCCCAGCTTTGCCAGGGCAACTGGATTGGATACAAGCTGTGGTGCATCGTGGCATTGGAGTGTTGTTTGTGGCCCCTGTGTGGCAGCTGAGCCAGCAGGAGCTGCCTGAGGTTGTGTGTGGTGTCGCTGCTGGTCTGTGGCTGTGCTCTGCCCCATGACTGGTCAGGGCCATGTGTTGGGGCACGGGGTGGCAGAAGGAGAGGTTGTTTTCCCTTTTCTGTTCCCTTTCCCTTTCTGTTGTCTCTGGGCCTCAGTTGTTGCAGACTGACTCCATCTCCCCCTTTCTCTCCTGCTGCACTCAGTGGAGGATGGTGAGGCTGAGCTTGTTAAAAAGCCCAGGTAAGGGGAGTGTGTGCTAGTGCAGCAGCAGGAGCTACGAGGGTGCCCGCCCCGGGCTCAGCCCACATGGCTGGTCCTACCTCACTGCTTGCAGTCACTCAGGGGAAGCTCTTTGCCCTGTTGCTGTTTCTTCTCTCCCTCTCCATCCTCTCCCTCTAGCAGAGCTGAGCTGCTGGCAGAGCTACAGAGCCTGCCCTTCGCTCACTCCGTGATGGGCACTGCAAGTGCTCAGCCACTGCTCTGACTGCCACCTCGGGAGGGTCCTGCCCAGGCACCCACCTGCTAGACAGGATGTCCTTGTGCCGGGTAGGACCTGTTGGACACTGCTGGCACTAAGCTGGGGAGGCCAAACTCTGCCGTTGCTTCTTGAGCAAATGGGAGCTGGTGAAGGCTGGTGACACTGACAGCACCTTGCTGGGCTTGTTGGGAGGTACTGGGCAGGGGTAGTACCTGGGGCATGATGTGCCATGAGCCTGGCATGGCGCTGTGGGTCGGCTGGGCAGAGCTGGATGAGTGCCGCCGACTTCTTGTGCTGGAGTGTGTTCGTGAGGGATGAGCTGAGCTGTGGTCTGATACTGAGGGTTGTGCTGCCATTCTTCCCAATGCCACAGGGATGCCCGTGGGTCCAGCTGGGGCACAGTGGAGCAGTGGTGAGTGTCAGGGTCTGGCGTGGGCACCTTCGGGAGCATTGCCCTGTGCTGCAGCATTGGGCAGGGTCTGTGCTTGGTGCCAGCTGAGCTCCTGCCCTTTGTCACTCACAGGCAGCCCCTGCAGTCCCCACAGCTGCTGGCGCCCCCCAGCAGCGCTGT